TTAGAGTTAAATACGCAAATTCCTGGGCCCTAAAATTTTAAGAGTGATTTTCAAAAAGTTCCTAATTGAGTATTATGTACAAGCATAAGACAGAGTAGAAATTATTTGGGCTTATAAGATTCTCAATGGCATTACCTAGGAGATAGCCTTAGTGAGAAAAAAAAAAAAAACTAAAGAAAGCACAAGCCACTGGCAACACTCAGTAGAAGAGCACAGTCCTTCATGACCTCTGGGATCAGTTAGCACTGAAACATACTTCCAGAAAACCAAAAAAAAAAAAAATTGAACTCAATTGATAAATGAAATATTAAATACTGGCTGCATAAATTTTGGAAACAATTTCCAAATGTTACAAACTTAAGTTGAGCTGTCTGTTGTAGCAATGGCTAGTCACAGAGCCAATTATTTCTTGGTTTCATGCCAATGAAGTCAAACCATCAGAATAACACGATGCTTTCTTTTCTGTTTGTTGTGTACTATGCTTAGCTAAGCTGTGGGAAGGAGTGTGAATCACTGAATAATCCATCTCTATTTGACAAGCCAAAAAATCCCAGAAAGATACAGTGAGTAGATACACATGACAAAGTCAGGATGAGAATTCTCATATTTTAGAGTTCTGATCACAATTATTTTTATAAGACATACTGATTCCTCTTTTAAAGGTTTATAATTGTAGGCATAAATATGCTGTATATATCCAGTTATATAATCATGCAAATCTGTTTTCACACTTTAGCTTTGATCCAAAGCTAACATTATCAACAACGGTTTTGCATAGGTACTTAACAATTATTCTGCTCACCCAGATAATGTAAATGGCTTGATGTTTTTAAAAATAGCTATTCATGGAAATTTTAACTGATACCATCTAATATCTTTACTTTCAAAAAGAGTAGTTCTCTTTAAAATAAGAAATTATAATTATGTAGCATTTTCAGACATGCCTAATAACTAAAAGTTTATGGTAACAAACTTGATTGTTTAAAAAGATATATTTTGTCTTAGTTCCCGGAATAGAACTTGGAAGAATAGGTAAGCTTTAGTTTGAGCACAAAGCTACCAACCTAGTTGGTTTTGACAAACTATAATTTTCAATATTTTTTTCTACTTTCCATTGCAGACTAGTTAAGATAATTTCTTCTTGTTCTGAATTCTTTCATGAATTTGTTCAGGTATACTGATGTCACTTTTTAGATACAGAGCTATTATCAAACATCCATCCGCCCACAGCCAAGAAACCTTCACTCTCAGGTTTAAAGATTTAGAAATGTTTAATTTCACTTCTCTCTCTAGTTGTTAGCATAGTGCCTGAGAAATATTCTAAATAAATAGTTGTTGAATAAATGATTTTTCTTTATTTCTCAACACATTTTCTAGGCTATTCTACCTTGTACATTGTGTAATCAACAAATGTAAAAAAGTATAAAATTTAAAACACACACATACAAATATATAAAAACATTTTAAATGATAATCATAATTTTAGGCCTTCTCTAGTTTATCACATACTAGTAATAAAGGAAAATTTTTCCAGACCTAAGTACATGCATGTAAATATAAATAGCTAAGTTTGAATGTTTTTACTCATTAATCAACTTAGAAAAAAGTCAAACATCTCATGAACCATTTTTGAATTTACTTTTTGCTATTCATTTAGAAAACTGACCGGAATGTGACTCACAATAAATCAGCAATTACATCATTCAATGAGCTGTATCATGCAACAAAATCTAATTATAATGAAAACAGAAATTATAATAGAGTTTGTTCATTGTAGTCACTGTGTTAAGTACTAGCATTGCTATAAATGCTCTGATATCAGAATTCTTTTTTCGTCATATAACTTGGATTTCAAGTGAAAGGTATAAAATGTCCGTGGGTTGTAGAAGAGGTTATTTCCAATGTTTATCAAGGACCAAAACAAAATGTTACTAGGAATTCCCAGCCACATTTAACCTCAGAATAAAGACTGTTTGGTTTATTCTAAGAAATGGAAGCAAACTCAATATCCTATGCTACAATAATGAATAAGTAACAGCCAGCATTTTCTTATGAACAATTGTAGTGAGCATATCTTGTGTCTTACGGAACATATGTCGCCTAGAAAGATCAGCCTGGCCTCCTATAAGTTATAGTTCCAGAAGAATTCTGCAGTTATTTAAGTCAGGTACAGTGCCTTGATAAGTCATTTTGCTAAAAATGTACCATCTTTCCCTTTCCCCTGTAGAATAATGTGTGGTTTTCCTGAAGAAAATGATAAAGAAAGTAAGGTTTAAAAATTGGAAGCTTAAGGTTATCATCTTCTCCAAACATTTACACACTAAGCCAGGTGTGACAATACAAGATTTGGCTCCAGGCAATTACCAGTGGGCTCATGTGTTCTCTATACAGCACTTAAAAAAGAAAACACATGCAGACTCACTCACATTGTGCTAGGCTCTTGGAAGAAAGGAAACTAAGACTTTTCCAAGGGAACCATGGAAAGCTTTTCTCTATGAATTATAAATAAAATGATCTTATGACCAACAAACCAGATAAATGATCACCTTTATTAAATAAGACAATGTAATTATCAAGTTAGATAAACAACAAAGACAGATTTGGAATTACTAATTTGGACTCAAATCACAAATTACTTCAGATTTATTTTATGTTTTATGCCTCTTATACAGAAAATTTCATAGAGTACAGATATGCCTAAGAAAGAAAAGAAGGGTACTAGGCCAGACCACTGAATTATATACCCACAGTGTCAACATCTGTCTCATTCATTGCAAGAAAAGCATAAACTGAGATTGGGTTTATATATAATAATGCAAAAATTGGCTATTAAATGGGTTATGCTTATCAAACAGACTTTGTATAACATAAGATCAAATTTTGTAGCACTAGAATACTCAATTTTTTTCAAAATTTACATGATTTGCAATTTTCAGTCTCAGATAAATGTCATGAGAGCAAACTTATCTCCTTAAGAAGGAGGTGAAGTCTTATTGCACATGTGCAGTGCATTCCATACTGGCAGGAGAGCTACACACTCACTTCCTGGCTTATGTTAGGAAATTAAGAAAAACGTTGTTGTTTTTATGCCCTGCTGCTTGTGTTTTCTCCTTGCCTTGCTCCCTGTTCATAATTTCTTCTCCAGAAGTTTCTCTAACTGGATGAATTTCAAGAAGGGCATAATCTAATCTGTATGCCTTCTAATAAATCCTGGACAGCTCACTTTCTTTTCAAAGTATCATGAACACTTCTGTAATCCCAACACACAGGGGGCTGAGGGAGGAGACTGTGAGTTCAAGACTAGCCTGGAATATGTACAGGTTCAAGGCCAGCCTAGACTATTTAGTGAGACACTGTCTCAAACAAAAAACAAACAAAATAACAGCAAAAAACAAAAGAAGAAAAACAACCAAAGCCCATGACAAACCAGAGTGTCAAAACACTGTTTTAAAACTATTCTAGGACTCAAACTGCACTAGAACCTCCCAGGAAACTATGAAGTAGCAAGGAAGCATAATTTCTTGTTCATTGTTGAAATTTGTTGCCAGTAAAAAGCTACTTATAAAGTGGACTGGACTTTTTTTCAGCCCTTTCAAAGTTGCCTTCTTTTTCCTCAAAGCAGTTATCACTAATGGTAAAGGAATTGCAAGCCTCTCTTTTCAACTCATCTTTAGACTAGTAAATTCATGCTAATAGACTTAAAAGGAAATTTAAGACTGACTCATCTAATCATAAAGAACTTGAAAACTTAAATAAATCAGACTCTCAGAGCAAGGGAATGCAAATCAAAGATGATTTAGTAAATCAATCTATTTGATCATAATTTACGACATATTAATCAGTTGTATAAGAAAGCAAATAAGTAAAATGCAAGAAAATAAACAACTATAAATGGCAAAATAAATTTTAGGAACAGCAAAAAAAGACTACATCACTAAAGGGAAGCAGCTACAAAAAAAAGCGTATTTTACCTGTCATCATCTTGTGAGAATCTCCTCTGTAAATCCTCTTTACTCCACTGCTCTTTTTCTTTCCCTTGCTCAGGTTTATCTTGTGGTTTTTCCTTGTTTCCTGATTCTTTGTTTTTCTCTTTATTACATGTCTTTGTAATCTCTTTCCCTTTCCCATTCTCATCAATATTTTCTTCCTTTACCTCTTGTTTCTCATGAACTAGCTCTTCACACTTTTCCCCTTTTTTATCCCCCTCTTCTATTCCCTTTGGCCTTCTGAATGCAACAGAAATGGAAGGCATGCAAATAAACACAAAAAAGAAAAGAAAAAAAAAGAAAGTCAAGAAAAAAAGCAAAGGAAATTAAACAGAAAGACAATGAAAACTAACAAAACATAAGAGTAAATTATGTCTTTTAAATGTTGAAAACTTTCTTCATTGGGTATCAGAAAAGCAATAGGTAAGCAATAATCACAAGTTTTAAATCACACTTTCCTTTTCCAAAATTACATGGAAAACAGGCAAAAGTTGTGCTCTCTCTAGTATAAGAGAGTATTTGTAAAGCTGATAGGACAAACAAGAAATGCAAGCTATACTCACTTAAATACTACATTTATATATTTTCTTCAGAACATAAGGAGTTTTTTCATATATTTATGAAAATTTCAGGAGAATGGGAGAACATCTTACTAAAAAGGTAATACTCTTATTTTCTGAATCACTAAAATGCACTCAGGAAGGGAAAAATACCCTCCAAAATGCTATTTTTATATTTCTTAGAATATTTAAAAGTGCACATCTTCACTTAACCATCACTTTAATTTTAGTGAGGCTATAATACTAGCAGTTTACTTTTAAAATTCCAAGCATAAAATAATGTTTTTCAAGTAAATCTAGTACACAAAATTGTCACCAGTTATATAAGTTTTTTGTATGTACAGAAGATCCTATTGCCTTAACAATATATATTAACCTTCTAGAAATAAAGCATTTCACATTTACCCAGAGAAAAACAAAGGCCTACCATACATTCTGAAGTCTCCTTACTCACCTGATTTTCTTGTTTCCTCTTGGCCGCTCTGACTGGACAGACATGTAGCTTGTGCTGCTGAAACGAGAAGCACTACTAGTCCTTGAAACCGCAGATATGTCACTTACATCACTGTCCGAGGATTTAGTGGAAATATTATCTGCCCCTGTATGAGGATCCCATCCTGATCGATACTGTTAACACAGATTGACAAACACGCAGAAGTTGTCAGTATGACCACACAGCAATCGTGAGCTTTCTCCTATTTCAGCACTTTAATTGTCCACAGAGGATACTGCAATACCCCACTCAGTTGCATATGAAACAAAAGGGATGGTAATTATCCTAAAAGAAAAATTCAATTTATACGAACCCCTTGTTTTTAGCAAAGTAATTAGAGCATTTTCACCACACCCAAATGAAGGCCATTTAATGGTTTCAAAACAGCAATGGCCACAGGGAAGAAGATTTAGGTAAAATCTGGGAAATAAACATTTGGCTTAATATTAGCAAGGAGGGTTTTTAAATTTCCGAATAAAATTTGAAAAAAAGTATGGTAAGTTGGCATTCTAACTTATAAAAACCAATTCTAGTAGCCATCAGTTTTCTCCTTAATCCATTATGCTTCCCTGAAAACCTAGAGATAATACAAAATCTAATTATTAAACCACTAAGTCTCTTCAGAAAATCCAAGAGAAAAGAGGAGGTTTGATTTCTGAACAGTTGCTGGAATTCTGATGAATCCTAGAAATACTAGAAAAAGTCATTGTTATTTACAACAGTTCAAACTTCCTGGAATTGAGGGAATTAGTTAACTGGCACAGTCAGGGTACAGGGTGTTCTTGGGTTCTCAAATATTCTGGCAAATTGAAAACCAACATAAATGTTTTATGTTAATGACCTATTCTCATAAAATACACTTAAGGTAAAAACTAATGGACAAAACTTAATTTTATTATTGACAACAAAAGATTATTTGCCAGGAGTCTTCAAGCTGGGATGTAAAAAGCCTAGGACTTTGGAGAAAACCTAAGCAAGGAAAACTCTAATTACCTGGGTAAATATGAATAAATCATTGACCCTCTAAAATTATCGTAAAGTCATAGGGATAAAATAACACCTTTCCTGCATGGTTGTTTTGGGACCTAGAAATAATACATGTGTTTCAGCTAGTGTAATGTAAGTAAATTAAAGCAGTACTATGATTGTGGGATGACTATCCAGTGATACAACTGAATGTACAGAACTGCAAATGTGGCTATTACTGGATAAGAGCATATATGCTAACAGATTTTTCTAATTTATATTCCTTTCAAACAATGCTGGAACATCCTTATCTAGACAATTTTTGGAGAATTTTCAAATTGTACATACGGGCAAATTTCACAAACCCTTGGGAAAATGATTATCTTATATAGCCTTTGCTGTGATTTTAAAAACTGCTACCTCCTAAACAACCCTCTAGTGAAAATAATGATTTTCTATAAATATTAGACAGATATAAATGTTTTGGCCCAGAAAAAATTAGTGGTAACAGGCCACAATTTAAATATATTAGATCAGATTCAAATGATTTGCTGGTTTCTTTTTCATCAGGACTTCCCAGTATCTAGTTATATGTTTTTAGTTAATAACTTTCCTCTTCTTCACATATAAAATGAAATGAACATTTATAAGGTTCCATACAAATTTAATAATTAATCTCATTCATATAGAAAAACATATACCTAAATTAGGTGACAACTGGCCTTTCTGACTTCAATTTACTTTTCTACTTTGTTAGAAAAACTCTCAATTATTAAAAAGAACATAATTAAATTCTTCAAAAATTTGCAACCTATTATAAAAAAAAGATAGTGTTTGCTTTTAAAAGTAACATTATTTACTTATAATACATTTATTTGGAGAAAATTGAGTTCCTAATAATTTTCCAAATAAAGTCATTCTAAAATACCCCCAAAACTTACAATTTAGTGAACTCATTGTCTAGTGTAGTACTCTAAGATTATCTATCTACCTATCTGTCATCTATTTGCTCTACCTTCCCATCGAATATAAAACCCATATGTAAATATATAATTAACTGTATATTTATCTATTTTCATTAAATTTATTTAAAATAAATTTGATCTCAAGTTGGGACATATGTAGAAGTCTCATTTTACTTATATATTTTTTGGATATTTCATTTATATAAACAAAAAGGTTTAAAATTGTTCAGTAGTTTTATATTTGGGTGATGTTATTGTCCTCGTTCTTTAATGTAGAATAAAAAAGAGAAGCTACCTGCTACTCTTTCTTTTAAAAAATACGTCAGACCTGGATAGAAAGGTAATCTGGTATTATATTTTGACATTTCTTATTTACTTGTGCTCATGAGACTTTTGTACCATACAAATTCAAACAAAAAACTGAAAGTTTTAACACTAGGAGTGGTAGGGTACTAATATAGTCATTAGGAACCAATGTTCTTGAGTGAGAATGAATCATCTGAATCTTAGCCAAATAAATTATTATGATTGTTCCTTGGGACAACTGCTTTTATGAGTCTCTCAGCTTTCATCTTGTTAAAATACAGATAGCAGCAGTACCCTTCTCATTGGCTTGCTGCAAGGATCAAACACAAAAAAGCATGCATTTAGCACAATATCTGACATATAACAACTGTTTAATAAATGGCAAATGATGACAATGATGATGATGATGTTACATAGCAGCTGAATACTGGCTTCTATCAATTCTAGTGGTATCTTAGCTAAAAATGGTTAGAAATATCCAACAATAAAAATATTAAGACTGTTTTAAGCTATAATTAAATAATAACTATTTCTACATATACCTGAGATTTGTTTAAAAATATGCTCATAAAGTAAAATTAAAATACTAAACCCAAGTTTGCCCCTGTATCCTAATATATCCCATTTGGCCAGATTCATCCATATCATACCACCTTACAGGGAAATACTGATTTCCAATTATAGGATGAAGAATCAAATTTTCTCCATAAGAAATACATATGACATTTCTGGCCTAACATGGAACATACCTCACTTTATATGTCTGTATCAATACCTTATCCAGACATCCAAGCACATGCTTCTTTGACTAATTCTTGTCTGGTCTGCTTTGTTTTCATTTCTGAATCCTAAGTACTTAACTCTTAAATTTCAGAAGTTAGAATTCTGACTTTGCTTACTGTAGCCTTTAATTTTTTAGGACTGGTATGATGTGTAGTTCTGATGCTGTGATTTCTAAGTGCATACTTTAGGCTTAAGAATTTGTTTAGCTTTTAAAACACATGTGAGCATGGTATGTGTGGCACATAAACTTGACTGAGGTCTCTCAGATAATCCTGTTGGCCAAAGTAAAATTTTAGATAGGCAAAATTTAAGGAAAGATAAGATTCCTCATACTATAGTTTTAGGCCTTTTATGTAATTCATCATTTACTACCTCTTGTTATAGAGGAGTGTGTGTGTGTGTGTGTGTGTGTGTGTGTGTGTGTGTGTAAATGTGTTCATGTTTAATTTTCATACCATCTATTAAAATGCAAACTTCTGAAAGCTAGGGCACTTAAAAGTCAAAGGCTTAATTTACTTTAACTTACTCTAGTCTCTAAGGCTTAGCTTTCTAACAGTACGATATGGATTATCATCCTCTTAAGGATTCTTAAGAAATATTTATTGGAAATATTCAGAGTGTCCTTAACAAATAGCAGCTGCATATTTCCAGTGCCTATAGCATAAGTTCATTAACCTAAAAGGAACTGAATGGAATATTTTATATAAAGAAAGAATAAAAGTTAACTAAAGCTCCAGTTTAATGACATTCGGTGGTCTACTCAACACCTAGACCAAATGCACTTCTGTGTTGCTTCTAAGCATCTGAGCATGACCACCTAGGGCTAGGGCTCAGGCTTCCACCACAAATAGAATAAGAAATCTGGAAAGTGAGAAATGATACGGAAAAAAATTTTTATAAATAAAATTTTGGACATAGTTTGAAAATATTTTTAATAAACATCTTCACATATATAACTCCAACCTCCTCCTGAAATCTAAGTAATAAAATAATTGAAAAATGTTTTCATGTATTTTTGCATTTATAAAAGTACTATAAACAAAAGTTATGAACTTTAGAAGTGAAATAGAAGTAGTTAAAACTATTATACCAAACTATGGATGTAAACAAGTAAATCCATTTATTTAGAAGATGGTGGGTGTAGTTTTTGGCACTGCACAATAAATAATGTAAACAGTTAGCACATGCTAGATATAGCTGACAGGCAAACAATGAACGGTATGCTCGTTATTTTCTTTATTGGAACAAAAGCAAAGAAGATTCATGGTCTCAGCTGAAAACTGCTCTCACTAGAGATCATTAAAATCTGGGAGGCCAGTGAAGAAGCCTTTCCTGACAACATTTTGATGTTTTGTACTATTAAGCAAATCATGAACTAGAAAAATTTATAGGAAATTATTATTCTTCAGGATGCACCAGAGCTAAGGCATTCCTATGTGGCTTGCAAAAGTTAATGCTTTTCCTATGTATCTAAAATTAGTGAAAGTAACTATCTCTGTAAAACTCTATTAAAAAGAAAGTTACCACTAAGATTTCAGGATGACATACTTGAGAAAAGCTTGAATTTCTAAAACCAAAGTTTAATGTTCTCCAGTATCCTCACTTGAAGTTCTTCAGAGACTTCTCAGTGGTTTTTCTTCAGCATCTCATCAGCTCTGAATGTTTGGTCTTTGTACGTGAACTCAGACACAACATGTGATGGGATTATGAGAGTCTCCTTAAACATTTCCTCCCTTCAACTTTATAAATCTCATGTGAAAACTGCAATCTGTTGTACCAAAGTGAATTAAAGGAATTGATTATAGCAAAATAGAGGGCAGTTTTCTTAAAAAGGTACAATTTTGCATGAAAATAAGGTTTATGTTTCAAGAAGTACTTGGAGGAATCTTCAAATCATATTCAGAGAGGAAACACTGTAGACAATCAAAAACTAGAAAAAAAAACCTCAGGCAAACATAGTGTTTGGTAAAGTTGGGGAGGGGGGCGCTACAGTTCTGGGCCAGGCTGTAGGTAAAAGACAGGGTGTAGAGGAGAGAAGAAGAGAGGCAGAAAGAGTCTGCACTGCTATCAATTGAGCAATCATGTGAGCAGAGGACGTGCGACATCCGCCTCTC